TTACTTCTTTTTCGGTAGCCTTAATATTTTTGAGTTCCTATTCACTTTCTTTTCCAACTTCCATAAGCGTTCTCTTCGATACAAAGAACCTGGCTGTCGGGAAGGGGTTGCACTCTAAATGTCGGCTGTCATATATTGACAACAATAAGCAGCGCTTAATAGGAAAAAGCAAAGCGCTCGCATGGCCCGGTGGCTAACCTTTACTGACTACTAGCTAGCTAACTATACAAGTTAGTGACTGGCGTGGCCAATCGAGGCGGCGGAGGACAAGGCTTTCGTAGATGAATGAAAGAGAGGCATTTCTTGCTGTCACGCCGCATCGAGTTTGGGTCAAAGAGAATATATCCCTCACGCTCCGGAATAACAATGAATGGCTAAGTGATGCGCGTTCATAAAAGAAGAAGAAGATAAAGACCTTGCATGCCACAGATTGTTCGGGCGTAGTTGCAACAAACATGAATATATTTCCTGTTCCTCGCCCGAGACTCAGGACGCCATGGCTAGCCAGCTGTATAGCAATATCTCAACGCTGAAGAGCCTCCAACATGGCCCGGCATATCTGGGGGATATACCTCTGATAGGTCTGTCCTCGCTGACAGCCTGCTATGATCGGCTGCTCTCATTCCTTCATTCTATCCTGCTGGATGTCCAGCCAGCTTACAGACAGGCTGGCGCTCTCTTTATCCTGACTTTGTGAGATCATCCATCAAGAGGCGTGGAATAACTATAGCTTACTGCTTACTGACAGCTGTGAGGATGTATAGGGCAGGCCATACTCTCCTATTCGCTGTCATATCAACCATATGGTACATGCGGTCCTTTGACCACAAGTTACGCGTAGACCGACGATTCCGCCGAGCTCAGATCAGAGATGAGATTGTCGAGTCCTTGCTCGGTATATTGGGCATTGGGCTGGCGAACACCGTCTTTGGTATGCTACAGATACACGGGTATTCCCGTTTATATCACTCTATGAACGACGGACCTGGCCTGTGGTATGAAGTCATGCAGTACCCACTCGCGATGTTCCTTACCGAGACGGGGGTCTACTGGCTGCATCGCATGTTTCATCTCCCAGTGCTTTATTCCTATACCCACAAAAGCCATCATAGGTTGGTTAACCCCTTCGCCCCTCAAAGATAAGCGAAGCTGGACAGTGATACTGACGCATTGTTACATATATGTAGATTCATAATCTCGACTCCCTTCTCGGCCTTCGCATTCCATCCCGCGGAAGCTTTCATAATGAGCTTTCCCAACCTGGGAGTCCCTTTCCTGATCCCCATGTCAACCACAGCCTACCTCATCCTTTTGATGTCCAGTACTGTCGAGACCATCCTCAGTCGTACGTCAAGACTTCCGAACTGTCGTGCTTTGACTACCTCGTTTTACCATGACCAAAGCTGATACTGCTTACCCATCTAGATGACAGCAGAGAAGGTTTCCACACAGTTCATCATCTCAACCCCAAGGCCAACTACGGGCAGATGCTCACCGTCTGGGACGTGGTGATGGGCACATACCAAAACCCCCTGGGTTGTTTCCGGGGAGGGCCTGTGGGGCCCCTGAGAATCACGCGAAAGAGCCGTAAATAGTTTTGGCCTTGCACATTTTTTTTTTTTTTCTTTTTCTTTTCATGTTTCGCTCCCTACTGCGTGCAGGGCAGGTTTATGAGCTCTCGAAGCGTGTCGGCAGAGAGAATATTTGCAAATACATTGGTGATGCATGGGGAATAGGAGGGATTGGGACGGTTTCGGTCAACGCGGACGGCGTTTTAGGGGTGATTACGCCGTGGTAACTAATTATTTTAGTTCCTTTATTCTTGTGCATAGTTTGGTCGTCGACCTTGATGCTTGAACTGACTCGCTCGTCTGTCAAGTTACCATCAAGTTCGCAGTACATAGCGCAGAGCCAGGCAGAGCAGTAGCTATCTACCTAGTTAAGCCAATAAATAGTTATGGGGTAGTCATTATGGCTTGTTTGGAGGTAGGCCAACCTGCATAAAGCAGGACGGCAAATATAGTGAAGATGCTCTCCGCTCCACCTTCCGCTCAGGGCAACGACGGCATTGCGGGTGCCGGTGGTATTTGGTATAACGGGTGTGCGGCCGAACATAGGGGGCCGATGGTCTAAGAGGTATGATGAGCTACTCTTGTCCTTAGTGTGGAAGAATGGGCCTCCGACGGAGGACGATGTCGAGGAGCTTTCCCCCTCTTGGACCCCGTCGTCTGTGCAGCAGAGGTACCACGTGTTCCAGAGGCAACAGGAGGAGGGGAAAGGTAGAAAAAACGTAAGCGGCGTTCTTGATGTATCCACCCGCAAGTAGTGCAATATATGAAGGCGTCGTTTGCCTGATTAATTTTTCGCGGCCTGTCTTTGTAGTTAGTTAGCTGGTGTGCATCCCATGTCTCCAACCCGCGTCTCGGCGGTTAAAGAACGGGCTGCCAAGACCTCCTTGCCCCATAGTCAGCTTAGTAAGACTTGCCCCGGAACCCGCTGACCTTCGAGGCTGCGACCGCCGTCGTGACCACTGACTGATACTGATACCATGGCCGGGTCCGGGAGCTCTTGTCGGAGGTACCTAGCTCACTCTGATCGGTGTCCACGGAGGTCTCGCAAAAAGGGCTTCTTGAAGTCAGCAAGCTTGCGGGCTCAGCTTGCCGCACACCGTGCCAGGACTTGGACACGTACGAAAAAAATCATCCTCAAGTACTGTCCAGCCCATCTATTTGCTAAAAACAGTGATTACGTCCTGATCCAGAGGAAGACTTGATGGATTTGGGGCTGTTGAACGAGGAAATAACACTTTGCGGATTTTGATATCAGGTAATGGGTATCCTCTCGCATACCTCGGGCTTGAAAAGGAATGCGAGCGGAAGAGTTGGCTATTGTGCGAAGGGTTTTGAGAAGCCGAAGGACAGTTAGCAGCCTGCTTCGCTCAGATGCATGTCAAGTTATTTGCCGCCACCAGTAGCTATGTGACAAGGCGGCTAATAAAGATGAAGCCACAGCGATTGTTTGGGTCGAAAGATCATTACCTAGGACAGAAAAGAATTAGCCTAGATCAAACCTGTTCCGCTCTCGTACGGTGAGAGCCTAACGATAGGAGGCTAGGTAGTGTATCCTTGGACTCCAAGTTTGGATGGCTCAAGACCAAACATCTTCTCGACTTCTTGGTTTATTCTGTGCTCATATCCTCAATGCTGGACGAAATGATTGGTTCCAACTTAAGACTGTAGGCAACATCATTTGCCTGTCCGTTGATTTTAGGCCTATAACTCGAGCGGTTCGAGAAGTAACTCCATATACGGAAAAATGAGAGTCTATTCCGCAAATAACTTATCAGTCCAAACTGTATCGGGGGCCACTTTATACAGAGTACCTGTTTACTAGTTACTGACAGACAGCAGCTTATTTTTAGAACCCGCCTGAATCAGTGTACGCTGAGATTCCAAGTGTGTTTTACTCCTTAAAAGGGCCTGAAACAACCGAGGCATGGTGGCTTGGTGGGATTTGAGATGTGGCACGACGATCATCGCAGCAGCTTAAGTAAGTTACCCCTGAATAACCACAGACAGACTGAGTAAATTTAACCAAGGAATGCTCTCTATAAACTCGCTGTATTATAACTAACTATCAACAGGGCCGACAGCAAGGAAAGCAACAGGTAGTATCATCGTGTTAACTTGCCGATATATCGTTGGTCAAACGGTAGCTAGCTTGCTAGCTTCTTAGTTAGCACCCCTGGCGGCCTTGCATCCCGCGGCCGGGGAACAAAGCTGATGCCGGCAACTCTCCAGCCCCCAGGTTTGATCGACTCTGCAGAGAACCCTGCAGATACGGGATCGGGATTTGCTCTCGGCCACCTACAAGTCCCGAGATCTCGAGCCCGAGTAGCTTGGTAGACCAACTTGTGCGATCTGATGGGCTTGATACTATGTCGAACCCACCTTTCGCTATTTGGTCCTGCTTGTCTATCTGGAGCACCGTTTCGGGATCAGTTTCCGGGCCGGATCGATGGGCGTTATTGGCCGGCTCAGTGTTTCGACCCTTCAGGCCCAAACTGTCAAGAAGATATGACGGTCGATCGCTGTCCTGCAGCAATCACCTCATGGCGGCGAGGGTCCTTTGGTGGCTTGCTGGTAGCATCCCTGTCCTGCATGAATATATATATTTGAGCATTGCACCCCTTCCTGGTCGGTCGCAGATCCAAGAGGAACAAGTTTACCAGGCTGGACAGAAACAATTGCCAAAATGCAGCTGTCTCTGATCACCCTCTGCACCATTGGCATTGGAGCCACGGCTGTACAGGCAGCTTTGGCTCCCAACAGCACATGGCCTGTACAGTCCTATAACAGCACCAACATTCGTGCTTCTGTCCTTGAGACCACCAAGATGGGCGAGACAGATCCCGGATATATCTTTGTTACCCCTTGGAACGGCCACCGCAGTGGGCACCCGTCGATCTACAGGGACGATGGCCAGCTCGTTTGGCAGGGGCCCGAGGGAACTATCTTCGGTTTTCGACCGCAGAACTTGAGTAACAATCCAATGCTCGTTTTCTGGGAAGGCGACTTTACGGGCACGGGTTATGGCCATGGTTCTGTCAATCTTTTGAACAGCTCTTATCAACTCGTGCACAAGGTCACTCTTACGGAAGGATACTTCAATACGGGACTGGATCACGAGGTTGAATCTCACATCGACTATCACGAAGGAATCGTTGAAAATGACAAGAAAGCTCTCCTCGTGGCCGCTACAAACATCACTCAGGCTGATCTTCGGTCCGTGGGAGGTCCAGAGCAGGGCTGGGTCATTGATGGATTGATTTACGACATTGATATCGAGACGAATAAGGTCCTCTTCCGCTGGAGTGCCGTGGAACACATCGACCAGATCCCATTCAAGCTATCCCAGAGTCCGCTGTTGGATACTGGCACCTCTGAGAAAAACCCTTGGGACTTCTTCCGTGTATCCTCCACCGTCAGATATGGGGATGATTACCTTATCTCTTGGGACTATGGATGCAGTATCCTGCACATTGCTCGCAACGGTTCGGTTGCTTGGAACCTTAATGTAAGCGGCTTTTCCGTCTCCATCTAACTACTGTAATACAATTTGATGTCAACAGGCGGCTAATGCGGGATACTAGGGCATAACTGGGGGTGACTTCAAAATGGGACCCAATTCAAACTTTTGCTTCCAGTACGGCCTACGTCTAGGAATGCATACAGATGAGAAGATCACCATCTCGATGCACAACAATGACAACTCGGAATTTAGCAATACAAACAACCCTACCACCGGACTTATCTTGGACCTTGACCTTCAAAAGATGGAAGTCGTTGGACAGCGAAGAATGTGGAACCACGAACATCCTGTCGTTTCAAGGGACCTGGGGAGCTTCCAGTACCTAGGTACTGGCCATTGCATCGTACATCATGGTCAAATTCCGCTTATCGAAGAGTATAACAAAGAAGATGAGCTTGTCATGCAAATCCGCTATGGACATGATTTGGTTGATGCCTCTTATCGAGTCCATCGAGTCCCCTGGACCGGAATGCCTATAACAAAACCGAGTGTCAAGGCATGTCGCAAGGCGGATAAAGATATAGTGGTATATGTGAGCTGGAATGGCTCAACCGACATTGAATCATGGAAGGTTTTCGAGGTGTCTGAGGGTAGCATGCCAAAGGAGATTAAAGATGAGGCGTGGACCGGATTTGAAACTACAATACAGGCGCAGAGTGAAGCTAAGAAGGTTCTGGTTGCTGCGGTTGGCGGGTATGGTGATGGGGTAGAATCTGATCCTGTTACCGTGGATGAATGCTGATCTAGCCACTTGATTTCATCTTCGCTTTGACTTTGAATTCCCGTGCTAGAACTGATCATAATTAACGGCCTATTGTCTATACTTTGACGCTATATAGTTGACACTATCCGTATATATTGAGATATTGAATTTTCTCACCAATTCACACTATTCGGTTAAAAACCCATCTATGAAGGTAGAAGTTGATTGATATTAATACCGCGCTTTCCTGCCTTCATGTATTACTACGAAATGAAGTACGATTCGTGAGCAACGAGCGTTTTGGATGAACTGATATACTACAACAATAGCACATTAAAAGTGGGTGTCGTTGAGACAATGGTATATGGCCAGGCTCCGGTACTGCTCATATGTACGCTATTCCTGGTAACAATTGGGGATTGAATTGTCCAGGCTAGACCAAGTCCGTAGGATGGTCCAGCATGGCTAGGAACGATATGAGCTGAATCAACATAGACTAGTTAACTAGTTAAGTAACTAGTTAACTACTAATCAACAAAAATTATCCCCAGCTAGGATGTGATGCTCAAATATTGCGGTATCATTTTGATAATGTTGGTCTGTCAATTGTTTGTCTGATTTCACGGAATACCGCTTGATCCTAACTAGGCGAGGCGATAATCCAATAAGCATTCGGCATAACAAGCTAACTAGTAAACCCAACCAATAATAATTTAGTATTCATGGTACTCGTTAACTTTGTTAGTTCATTAGTTATAACTAGTTAATGAACCAATGGAAAAAGCACAATAGTTATTTTAACTAGTGTATTCAAGCTTTTGCCCTCAAACATCCAGGGCTGACGACCAGAGGTATGCAGAGCGTCGAGTCTACCTAGGGTGCAGACAAGGCCCATAAACTTCTCTTCATATCTTCATGCCCTCCTCTCTGCTGCTGCCTAGTCTACAATACAAAGGCATCTTGGACGCATGGCTCTTTATAAGGGAGTTAACGCGTAGCCACCATGGCTGCCATGCCTAGTGACAAATGATCCGCGAAATGGAAGCCAGACAGAGATATTCAAAAACAGAAACCTGACGTCCCGGAGCCGACGTGGGGTACTATCCAGTATGCATGGTGCTCCCAGCGAAGGATCTAAGGATCTTCTCTTGGCCAGTCAGGATTGAAACTCCGACATGCATACCAGCCTTCAGCACGAGCAGTCTGCTGACATTTATATTACTGGATCCCGGACTGTCTCTCTCTTTAACTCGCTGGCTGCCTCTCTGACGTCTTGTCGCTTTCGAAACTGTCATATAGCCAGGATAACTGATCAAGATGGCCTCTTCCAGCCCAGTGCCCCTAATTGAGGAGCCCCAATGGAAATGGATTATTCCGCTAATTGTCACAGTCATTGCAATATATGTGAGGGGAAACTAACTGTTTGGTTGCCTCGCCAGTTTATAACCACTTGAAGGTACCCAGGAACTTAACGATTCCTCGGCTGACCATCTGAATGCATCTAGATTCCTCTGGTTGCGGCGTACCGTCTGACGCTACATCCTCTTGCGAAATATCCCGGGCCGCTCTGGAATAAGCTATCTGACTGGCCATTTTTCTTCGAAGTGATAGGCGGTGACCATCATCTGGAATGTTTAAGGCAGCATGAAATCTATGGTATACTGAATACGTTATTCGGATGAAAATAAAAAATAAAAAATAAAAAAATTCTAACTAGATTCTCGAACGTTATAGGTCCAATAGTGCGTACCGGTCCCAATAAGCTGTCAATCAACAGTGCATCTGCTATGCGGCAGATATACCAACGCAATGCAAACGTGCAAAGAAGCGACTGGTATCTGACCCTATACGCTTCTTCTTCATATGCACATAACGTCCACTCTGAAACCAACAAGAAAAAACACAGCTTCCGACGCCGTGTGATGGGGCATGCATTTTCAGATGCTGCTCTAAGGTCTTCAGAAGAGTTTATCAGTGAAAACATCAAAATATGCTGTGACCAATTGAGCAAGACGGCCACGACTCCCGAGAAATGGGGAACTCCTCAGAATATGGACCACTGGTGTACATACCTTAGCTACGACATCATGGGAGATTTGGTATTCAACACGAAGTTCAACTGTCTTGTAAGCGAGGAAAGCAGATATGTTCCCGCTCTGCTCATTGCAGCCACCCAATTTCTATACAATGTTAGTCGACGTCCGTTGGCCCCTGTTGTCACAGAGTATTTCAACTAACTATATTCCTACTAGCTCGGTTATCTGCCATTTGCAAAGTTTGTTCGACCTTTACTCGGAACCAAAATAATGGAAATCCTTGGTGGAAAGTTGGCACGGGATGGAAAGCGTTATAACGAGTATTGCGCCGAGCAGATGAGCAAACGTCTTCAGTCTACTAACGTGAACGATCCTGGTTACCCTAAAAAGGATCTAATGCATTATTTAATCGATGCAAAGGATCCAGAGACTGGTCAGGGGCTTACACGTGCCGAACTCGCCGCTGAGTCTAATCTTCTGATAGCAGCAGGGTCAGATACAACATCTACGGCCCTATCTGGCGCTATTTTCTACCTCATTCACAATCCGGAATGCTTAGAGAAAACAAAGACTGAGATTCAATCCACCTTCAGTGCTGTTGAAGAAATCCGAGGTGGCAGCAAGCTCAATAGCCTTACCTACTTGCGGGCAGTTATTGATGAAACGCTGAGACTTAGTCCCTCAATACCAAGCAATTTGATGGTAGAAGTATTACCGGGAGGGACCACTGTCGATGGAAATTACATCGCTGAAGGGACGACACTTGGTGTCTCGCCGTATGTCCTTCATCGCAACACACAATACTTTCAGGATCCTTATGTTTTTCGGCCTGAACGGTGGATTGGAACTGACAAATCATGCTTGGTGGTCTCCGAAGACAATAAAAGCTCAATTGAAGACTCTGCAAATGCACGGTATGCCTTTTTCGCATTTAGTGCAGGCTCCCGAGGCTGCTTGGGAAAAAATTTAGCTTATTTGGAACTCCTGATGACACTCGCAACACTCATCTTCAAGTTTGATATGCGGAGTCCTACAGATGACGACGAGCAAAACGATACTAGGACAACTCACGGAAGGCATCCAGGTCGATGTAGAAAAGACGAATATCAGTTAAAGGATCATTTTGTGCCGGAGAAGCAAGGGCCAATGGTCCAGTTCAAGGAGAGGGCCTATAACGTTCAGCCTGTGAGTGGTGTCTGAAGACACGGGATTTAAGTCAATGCGGGGACCCATATACAATATGCAAATTTACTCAATGATATGGAAACAGGGTATCTTGCAACACACTCCGTTAGCCGAAGTGTGTTCACTGTTTATGTAACTCTTTTGGTTACGATACAACCGAGACATTTATGCAAGCCTTTATAGGATATAGGAGCTATGCATTCTGAAAAATTGTCAAAACCCCTGATTGACGGGCTGGAGAGCTCACAGCTCTTTATCATTGTGCAGCCTGCCGAGATGTCCACTGAACACAGGCATCCTAGTTCTATCTTTGGTTGCGAGGTAACTGTCATTTTCAGATACTTATGCATGATGCATATACTCACAATACTTGAGGCTTCTCATGTCCTAGCCCATGCAGCCTTTTTGGGTCGAATGTCATCCTCACGTGCTTGTTTCTCACTGTGGCTGCATAAATATTGGTATGCAAGAGTCGAGTGCGAAAAAAATTCTACCAGCGGTCATTCAAAGTAAGGTTGGAATTTATGGAATATAGGAACCTGATGTTGCTCATCTACTTTGCCCATGAACCATATTGGGTATTCGTGCTGCTACCAGCAGCATTCAATAAGCCTAGAGCTTACGAGATTCGATCCGCTCAGTCCTCCCTCGGATTTTCCAGATTGATACCCGGAAAATACTTGGCCTCCATGCAGTTCCAATTCCTATTTGGTGCTCATGTTTGGTGGATAGATTGACCAAGTAACACCAGGTCTGCCGGTTTCCCTGATATCAATATCTAACTTATTTCCCCCCAGTTTGCGCCTTTGGAGTCTATCTGCTTTCAGATGTTAGCTCTTCCTTCATGTGCCACAGGTTTCGGATAATCCTCCCGTACCGCTGATGGTGGAAAGCGATCCCGCCTTTGGTCAGGTATCGTTCTCCGACTGCACTTTTCCAGGGAAATCACTTTACCCTTCCCTCACGCGATATGTTCATGTCATTTTAGAGCTGATCGCACGAGTTGCATGTCAAACTTGTGAAATCTTTAGTGGCCGTCCCGGCTGATGGTGTAACGCATCCGTTTATTTATATTAACCGGTGGTGCATTGTACTACCCCAATGATTACGTCTACCGAGGGTATCATGGAAGAGGATGTGCAACCAACAATCTGTACAGAACCTCAGAGATCGTGGCGTATGAGCTAGGTAAATGCTCTAAATGTCCCATGCAGTTTGCCTAACGAATAGGTGGTTTCAACCAAAGCATTGCCCGTGATAATGGCTTTGATGCACCATTCATACCATCTATGACTTTGAAAATCTTCGCCAGTGCAAAAATAATTTCCATTGGTTTGGTCACTTAACATGGTCACCAACCAACGGGATCCTCTGATCGGGATGTCAGAAAGTTAACCACAAAAACACAGGCGATCCTTGACCTGGCGAGGCGTCTGCTGTTGCTCGACTGGGGGCTTGTCCAATTCCCTTCATCTCTTCCAGCGCCACCTCCACAAGCAAGATACGCGGGCCATCTACAGCCCTTCCAGGCAAAACGCTTATGCTTGATCTGCTGGATAGCTTCCGGCTATGATTATATATTCCTGGCAGCATCTCTATATAAGTATGCCTAAAAACTGTCAAATTGATATTTGGCACATCTACGACTGCGCAGCCCCGTGCCGGTATCTGCACACATGTATAACCCACATGTTCATACTATTGCACATGCTTCACTGCTGGCAGATATAGTATGTGGTAGGTGAGTGGTGACGCCAGTGACGTTCTTGATACCCAGATGATTGGATTATATCCGATATATCTCCTACAATTTGCCCGAAAGAGTTACATCAACAAGTTCTACATGAGCTCGATACCGCGTTCATGCTAATGTATTTTGGTGCTGCTGTCCGACAAGGTCACTTGCACCAGCATGGTGAGCTGGCTATAGACTGGCTTGTGGTCCCTAAAAAGGCATAAAGAATTTGTGGTATCCTATAATATGACTGTATCGGGCTCATGCGGTTTTCTCTGAACTACGTTCGCGGCAGCCACCCAGTTAAGGTATCATCAATGGGGCATGGGGTGCGACACTTGTGATGAAGGCTAATGTCAAGTACCGGTGATTATGTTTCAGCATACCATAAGGGACCAACAGGGGCGTCAAGAATCACTATATAAGTCCTGAAGTTGATCCTATATCTAAGTAAAAAATCATATTCTTTTCACACCATCAATTGAGTAGCAACTGTGACGTATATGACCATGGGCTTTTTCCGCCAATTGTTTTCACTTTCTCTTTGTGCCTTGTCACTGGCCATTCCCTCCAAGTTAATTGGTCTTGAGAACACCCAGGATGTCATCCCCAACTCCTACATTGTTGTGATGAAGAGTACCATTTCAGAGGCCGAATTTCAAACCCACCAGGCATGGGCATCCAAAATACACCGCCGTAATTTGGGTGAGCGAGATGGAACGTTGGGCGGGCTGGATGGTCTCAAAACAACCTTCGAGTTCGAGGGACTCAAGGGATATAGTGGCGCTTTCGACAAAAGGACGATTGAATTGATCAGTAGAAATCCAGCTGTATGTGGCTAATTGACCCAATCAGCCTTGCGTGTGCTTATGTCTGACTATCTCAACCAAACAGGTCGACTATGTTGAAGTAGACCGTGTGGTTAAACTAGATGCCATCACCACTCAACGCAACGCACCATCCTGGGGACTTGGACGAATCTCACATAAGAGTGCTGGTAGCTCTGACTTTGTGTTTGATGACAGCGCCGGGAGTGGTATCACTATCTATGGTGTTGACACCGGCATCGATATTAAGCACCCTGAATTTAGTGGCCGTGCAACCTGGGGAACTAACACCGTTGACAATGAAGATACGGACCAGAACGGCCATGGAACTCATACTGCTGGAACATTTGCAGGTGCAACATATGGAATCGCTAAGAAAGCCAACGTCATCGCTGTTAAGGTGCTTAACGCCCAGGGAACTGGGTCTACTAGTGGTGTTATCCAAGGTATCCAGTGGTGTACCGACCATGCTGGTAGGAATGGTTTGAGAGGCAAGGCAGCCATGAACCTGAGTCTGGGTATCCGTGGTTCAACTGTTTTCAACCGCGTTGCAGAAGCAGCTCAACAGTCCGGTATTTTTCTAGCTGTGGCGGCAGGGAATGACGGGGTAAGTATATCCTCCTTGTTCGTTTCCTCTTGTCAAGGCATATCAGGAGGCTAAGATACTTTAAAGACCGATGCAGCACAGTTCTCTCCAGCATCCGCTAGAGGTGTCTGCACTGCTGCTGCCACCAATTCCCAAGATGCGGCAACATCCTGGTCCAACTATGGATCTGTTGGTATGTCCATTTCCCTTCAAAAGGCCCAGTAAAAGGGCCTTCTGCATGCTCAAGAGGGCTTACATCCTTCATGTATAGTCGCAGTATATGGTCCCGGAGCCGATATAGTTTCAGCATATCCGAATGAAGACACAGCAACTCTATCTGGTACCTCGATGGCGTCTCCTCATGTCTGTGGAGTTGGGGCATATTTGATGGCACTGGAAGGAATTGGACCTGATAAAGTCTGTGACCGCATCAAGGAGCTTGCGGTGGAGAGCGTTACGAACCAAAAGCCCAACACAACCAGGAAATTGCTCTATAATGGCAGCGGCGCCTAAATCCATTACCAAGCCAGCGGTGCTGAGCCGGCTGACAGGCGTAGGAACGAATCTTCTTACTTTCCTGCTAAGTCACTAGGATGGTGCATGCAAGCTTGCTGTGATATGTCACAGTATATTTTTGGGCTCTTGGAGGAAATGCTTGGGTTATCATGTGGGAGAGGAGTAACTACTCCGTAACTAGTCGATGCGGTGTCTAGACCACATGTAGTTAATGAATTGAGGGTTCACGGCGTATCTCTGATTTGACTCAACTGGTAGGAAAAGGGGCCCTTCAATCTGAACCAGCTGGTCTCGCTTTTGTGTAGTTACCAAGGTCAGAATGAAAATATCTGGGCGTCTATCTCCATCAACTGCAACGCTACCACGAAAACCGCTTGGCTGGGAAACAACATGAATATTGTGATGTTATCTTTACTTTAAGTACGCGGTTGTAGACGAGGGGCAGCAGCTCTCTGAGACGTGGAGGCTCCCCTGGAGGAGAAACTCGAGCTTCCTGAAATGGTTAGTATTACAAAATATTGTAATATTTAAAAGAAGGGGGGATAAGATTACCTAGGGCCTTTAAGTACCTTTAACACTATTTAGAGGCCTAGAGGAGCGTTGTGGTGGAAGATATATTTTCTAAAAATGGCCATTTTGTATGGGAAAATATGTGTTTGTTGAGCCTGTAATGTTCGTTGAGCTGGCGGACCCTGTTTTGGTCCAGTTACCTAAAGTGGGTTTCAAGACTCCATACGAATATACTTTAGCCTATTCTTAGGTCACTGTCGTTGCCAGAATCCACCAATCATATGAAATAATAATTGTGTCCCATTTTGGCATACGAGTGTTCGCTCAGCTCGCTGTAAAGAAAAAGAAAAATTCACTACTTCTCATTGGATTATTAACCAACTGTTAATCATGTATTTCTATTGGCTAATAATATCTATTATAAATTTATGCGCGCTCATTCAACCAATCAGCACTATTGACCCCTTATGCTTGCAACGGGGTGAACGGGCCATGGGCCATTTAGCTTTTAACTATTATGCAATACAAACAAGTCTTGGCGCACGTCACTCCCTCCAGCAACTTCGCTCATTCCTTTTACTGTCCTCTTCTTTCAACGCCACAATTCTGCTTCTCCTCGAACACATTATTGCATGAGGGAAGGAACACTCCAGAATCAATAACAGGACATAGAGTTGCAGAAATTTTCACTCTTCTGGTCATTTGTCATTTTCCTTCCGTAAAAACGAAAATGGGCAGCATCACAAAGTCCGAGCCGTCAGGGCGCTTGCTCAGAAGCCAGGGACCTCCACCAACCCCGACGCCAACCCCCCAAAAATTATTCAATATCGTCCGTCAAAAGATCCTCGACGCCTACGAATTCCAAGACCTATCGTTTCAGAATATCTCAGATGCTACTGGTGAATTAGTGACAACTTCTCTTAGTGAGGACCAAGACGTGGAGAACGCGTGTCCACGGTTAGTGTTTTTCTACAAATCTCTGTTATGGCTAGTTTTTAATAACTATGACAGTATAAACTACAATTCATACACTCAAACTCTTGACATCAGAGTCATGCCAACATTTATCCATGACGCGCATCAGTCATGGCTAGTAATGGAGATGTCGCGCATGGTTTCAACGGGTTTTGTAACCCAAGCAGAGTTTGACTCAGTTTCCTTTTTAGTCGGAACAAGTATGCATCTCCATCCTAACCTTGGTCTTACACTATTGCTAATCGAGTAATAGCATTTCGAGGCTTTCAAGGGCGCTACGCCAATTCCTCCAAAGAACCCGACACTTGTCTGCTCCCAAGCAGCCAGCATTTTCCAAGCATTGTCATTGAAACGGGTTGGACAGAGTCGTGGCCAAAGCTTAGTAGGGACAAGGACCTCTGGCTACAAGGTGGCTGTCCCGAGGTTCTGCTAGTCTTCTTAATTAAGTGGTCAAAAATTACCAGCGATAGAGTGAAAGGTATCATTGAAGTTCACCAACGAGATGGTGGTGGGACAAAGCTGCTGCAAACAGAGGTACCACGATCCAATTCTATCCACACATTTTTGTTTATTTGTTTATTGAGCAAT